TTATGCTCATGAAGATATTGATTGCAACAAACTTATAAAACTAGAAACACTAGAAATGCTTTATGCATTTTCTACCAATTTTTTGACACTGGACATGAATAGCCTGATTTTCAAAGTTAATGAGCACCTATAATTACAACTGATTTCATTAGCAACTGGACATGCACAGCCTGATTTTCAGAGATAATAAGCACCTGTAATCATACACCGATTGCATTAGCAGCTGTTCTTCACTCAAGACCTCTGAAATTCATGCTGTAGGAAACATTTATTGACTTTTAGGCAACTGTAGTTTAGTAGTGACTCCAATACTTCCCTGCAGAACTAAAGCACATCTTTTAGAAAGACATCTAGTCTTAACTCCACCATCTAGTGTTTCATATATATATATATATATATATATATAAATATGAAGAAATCTTATATTCAGATTTATAATATATAAGAAGAAGAAATGTATAAGAAGAAATGCATAAAGGAGAAAAAACAAGCACATAAATGGTGAGCCACAGTGGGCACATCTACACATGCACTGATAAACTCCAGCACAGTTAATGCTCTAGGGCATAGCATTTACACATGTGCCCGAGACTGCAGCATACTGAACTGGCACAGCGAAGCCCTGGCTGGCAGGGGGCCCAGAGGATCAAGAGGATGCTTCAGTGCAGTGCTAGAGAGCAGGCATCCTTGCACTGTAGCACCTTTGTGCCTCAGTCAGTCCTTGTAACCATCTACACATGCGTTGTGGCTCAGTAAATAACTCTGTCCTAGAATAGTACTTGTGTTGGGCAATACTATCCTATGGTGGAGTTAATTAGTTTACTTCAGCCTAATAGCACTGCTCATGTAGACGGTGATGCTTTACCGCAGAGTTAATTAGGCAACTCCACAGTAAGCATCTTGTGTCGATATACCCACTGGGTTACAATTTAATCTTTCAACAGCTGAAGTTTTAAAATAAAGACAGTGAGGGGGCTCTCAGAGGAAGAAGAGCAGCCGTAAGACAGAGTGAGGAGGTTGTTTTGTGCATTCTCTATACGTATATTTGTTTTAAATACAGAACTTTGCATAATTACGTTTGTTCTATTTTTTTTAAATTTAAATTGTGGCTTTGCCTTCCAGGCACATTTAGATTTTCCCCTTTATTAGTTAGCTCTGGAGGATGCAGCCTGAAAGATGTCCATCTATTTCATTTCATTAGCTTATGACAGTCTCCCCAAGGGCTGCCAATGTGCTGGACCGTAGCCCAAAACTTCTTTAAATATGCCACCTTAAGGCCCCCACAATGTGTGAAGAAGAAATCATAAGGATGCTTATAATATCTTCAAATGGTACCAGTCATTTATAGTCTCTATAAATCAGTGACATATAGGGACTACAATGAGGGAAAAACACCCTCTGAAGAATTCACTTTAATTAAGGGCCAAAACTTCATTAATTTGTAGCATGGCAACAATAGGGGAAAAAAGAGCTGAGGATTTCACTCTTCTATATGCTTTAATTGGATATTACTCTCAGGCATATCTATGAATCAGTAATTCTAATGTGCTGAAGTCTAGAGTCATCCAATAGCACCACCTGTTGTGCTTTATAGTTATATGTTTTGTGGTTATTGTATGAGGAAATTATTGTCTGGAACTACAAAATACCAACATGCTGTGAAGAGCATGAGCACATGTATTGGATTTCTGTGCATCAAATGCTATATTATGTAGGTTTCAATAGGTTATAGGGGGGGAAGACAAACTGTAACATTTGACTGCCAAGAATATTCAGGAGGGTTATAAAAGGTAATGAGAACCACTGTAGATTGGGGAGATTAATTTGGTCTGGGGACTCTCCATGTATTGATTATGGGTTCTCTTTATGTGTCTGTCTCAGACTACACATTTCAATCATATGTAGCAACCTCTGCCTTTTCCATTGCCCTATTGCCTAGGTTCATAGGAAATCTTTAAGGCTGGTGACAAAGAGCTAACAGTAGGGGTCACTGACTTAAGAGTTCTATCATTGAACTATAATTGCCAAAATCAATCAGTTGGCTCCTGGTTTACCAAGATAGGGATCACTTTGCAATAAGGTGATCTATAATCTGTTGTTA